CCACTGACTAAATGTACTAATGAGCAGGAAATGTACAAGACATTAGATAGAGCTGATGTTAACACGATTTATAAGATATATAACTACGTCAAACAACTAATTAAATAATAATTATGACAAAATATCAATATAAATATATTGATTAATAAATGGTAAATACTAATATTGTTAAAAAAATTATTATATGAGAGGTTAATATGCGTTTCATCAAAATAAAACGCCCTTGTAACAGGCGAAAGCCTTTTACGCCAATAAAGATTACTTACTTTCTTAATTATACATTGTGGAGTTGTTGATGTTCAAATGCGTCTCTACGAATGCTGAGTGTTTTCAGGATGATGTTAAAGTACGGACACGAAAAAATTAAAGTAAAACTCAAATTTGCTATATTAAGTGACAAATGTTTTATTAAAAATAACATGGATTTACATGTTTGTACACTGCAAACTAAGAACTTTAATAAAACATTAACATCGTGTCACTGAAAATAATATTGTTGAAAATTTTGTACCAAAAAGCTGTTACCTATTTATCTGGACAGGTGTGAAATTGCAGTTTTCATACAATTTAAATACAATAGAAACGTACAAAGACAGAAACAATATACGTTAATTCGGTCGAATGTAAATATAATTTGAAGTGCATAAATATATAAATGGAAAATATTATAAAGAAAAATATGTTTTATCGAAATTTTAATTTCACTTTTATATTCAAACAAGGGGAGACTATCCGATTTCTTTTTGAAAGAGTAATATAAACTGTTGTTTTTTCTTTTTCTAGAAGGGACAGTTGCAAATATGGTGTGGCTGACTCGCCATTGGATGCGTTTCATATTATTGCTGTTTAAACTTTTTTGTCAAAATTAGGTTTGGAGACATTTGGGGTTCCCTGTTTTTCATTTAATCAGTTTAAAAACTTATTTCTGATTTTGATTTATTTTTTAAGGCTGGCTTAAAGCGAAAATAGTGGTTATATTATGTAAATTTAGTCTTGGGGCATGGTCTGCCTATTATTTAACCTGTGGTTGCTTTGACTGCTTGGGAGACTATCCGATTTCTTTTTGAAAGAGTAATATAAACTGTTGTTTTTTCTTTTTCTAGAAGGGACAGTTGCAAATATGGTGTGGCTGACTCGCCATTGGATGCGTTTCATATTATTGCTGTTTAAACTTTTTTGTCAAAATTAGGTTTGGAGACATTTGGGGTTCCCTGTTTTTCATTTAATCAGTTTAAAAACTTATTTCTGATTTTGATTTATTTTTTAAGGCTGGCTTAAAGCGAAAATAGTGGTTATATTATGTAAATTTAGTCTTGGGGCATGGTCTGCCTATTATTTAACCTGTGGTTGCTTGGACTGCTTGGAAGACTATCCGATTTCTTTTTGAAAGAGTGATATAAGTTGTTGCTTTTTCTTTTTTCTAGGTAAGTTTTAACCTAGTTGGTTGTTAATTTGTTCCGGATAGTTCTCCCATGTAGTTCTTTAAGTTTTTTTTATTGAATTTCGTTTAGAATGCTATATGAATTGTGTAATTTTCTATTAATATAATATGTTACTGCAATTGATGGATATATCTGTGGAACGTGTTTATATTATTTTGTAAGGTTATGTATACTTTTGTTTTGTTTTGTTTTGTTCTATCCCCGCATCATAGTCTTTGTACCAGAATGCAAATAAATAATTATTCAAACAATAAATGTATTTCTAATAAATTGCTGACTTGAATAAAATGATTGAGTTGAACACAAAGTCATTTATATTTTCTATTAATTTTAATTTTAAAAATAAAGATATTTACAGGACTTATTTATTAATCCGATTTTCTGCCTGCAAAAGATCAAAAATATTTTTATAATAAACGAAGAAAAAAAATCAAGATTTAAATCTTTTAGTAGTATCATTACAAAATTGTATGTTTTGCAAATTAATATTCAGAAGTGATTAATCAAATTAATGAAATTTTGCATCGTGTTCTCTACGAGATACTTCGTCGTCAAATTTCTCTTGACAGATGTGACATTCTAGTTCCACTCCTTCAACTATCACTTCTGAAAATATTTCCAATTCTGGTAAATGTTCCAGTTCGTTCATGTTTAAATATTCGTCTCTGTTCTTAATTCCACTATTTTCTGAATCGATGCTAAGCATTTCTACAACAGATTCTTCATATTCTACTGATTGAGATTTTTGACCACTCGTTGATGGTTTTTCCATTGATTCTTTCTGATCCTTGTCTACCTTGTGATATTCTTCATCTTCAATATATTCAACGCTTGCCTAAGAATTCAAAAATGTATATAATATAATTTAATTCAGTAAATTAAACTAAAATGATTTTAATTCTATTACTATTAATTCAAATCATAATTAAAGTCAACTGCATCATTCAAAAAATTAAGTTTCTGAAGGAATGGCATTTATAATTTATTTTTTTAGTATACTATTGTAATTAATGAATGTCAGTACTTTTACATAGTAAAGTATTCTAATTTTCCGTATGATGGAATATAGTTTAACAAAATAATCATTATGTATTGAAATAAATTCACTCTCAGGCGCACGGGGAACAATAGTTTCTCAGCATGTTTAGATCCGTGTATTTTTTAGTTTGCTCAAAGCCGGAAAATAATGTGTACCTTCCTTGAAATGTCTGAAGATTGCGCAAAAATATTTCAACGTTGTACGAAATTTATTCTTACAGAAAGCGAGCGCAAAGTTCGCTGGGAAACAATAGTCACACCACAACTAATCATGGCAGTTAGTGGCGTACTGAGTTTGCATTTGCTCAGTACGATTTTTACTGTTATGTGACGTCATATGACGTTGGTGTTGACTCATCTATTTGTATTGTTTTTTTATTTTTCTACATCGATCGTTTCATACAGATTGTTGAATATTTTGTTGCATTTAATACTTTTCATTTTACTTTTATCTAAACGCAAGAAAGGAAAATCGGAGCTGAGATTTTACCATTTCCATACTACGCATTTACCGCTAATTGCTTTACAATGGTAGGGAACGGTGTGTTTCGAAATATTTAAGAACCGGAGTGGTAAGAAAACATTTTTTGGTTGACACAGTTAAATGACACATGGAAAAAAGTGAATCTTAGATATCAACAGACTTTTTACAGTTTGTAAAAAATGCTTCTAATTTCACGATTCTTTAATTAAAGTTCCTGAAAATTACTACTTTTTTGTTTTCGTTTAAAAAATACATAAAATGATATATTTTGAGTAACTTTTTAATGAAACACAATATATTACTCACCTAAAATCACAAAACCCGCAATGAAAGAATCGTTATTCAAAATTGATCTATGAATACAGAGAACGACTGTTCCCGGCAGTCAAACATTATAATAGATTCCTATCGTGTCTTCTTATGGGTTTTAAAAGAAAGTTAACAAAGGCGGTGATTATAGAAAAATTACAGATTGTATATTACTTTGTATATGAATAACAAAGCGTGTCAAAATTTGTAAACTTTTCATAGTGTGCAAACAATTTATTATGTATATTTATACTTAAATTTCATTTTTAAAAGTATATAATTTGTACGATAACAGG